CCGCCACCGAAGAATCCCCCGCGCCCCGCATTCCCCTCGGAGTTCCCGAGTTAGAACTCTCATACTATTACTACTAACGTTGACTGAGTTTTTTCGTTGTTATTAGAGAGGAAGCTGTCATCTCAGTCGCTAGGAAATTTCCAATGTAGATTAAAACAAAGTACATGTGGCGCGGAAATTATAATTATGACATGATCCGACGATCGAATTTGGTATAGGATTGACTGTTAAAATGTAAAGTCATACGTATGGAAATTTATATAATGTGGAATATCGAACAAAGCGAATGTATGGTTTAAAATAGGTTAGATTATTTATGGAAGTATTATTGTAAGTCTGTTTTACTTATACATTATTTGTTGAATATTGAAAAAGGTCTGATGACAGACCGAAACGTTTATTTATCAGTAATTATTTATCAGTAATATGTGTGAAATATAAATAATTTTTGAATAAGAATTCGCTATTTCAATCTTGCACACGTGGAAAAAGCCATCCAAAATCGAATGTTATCTTTTAAATCGATCCACGGTTTATTATTTATTGTCATAATAATATTCTTTAAACGATTGCTAATATTCTCAAAAATAAAATTTAACGGATAATCATTTTCCAATAGGACTTTAATTATGAAACATAAATTATCAAAATAAAATTCAGGATTCGAGAGTAAAACAACTCTATCAACTAACCCCGCTATTGTTCCTATTTTTTGAGAAACCGGATGCTGCGACCAAAAATTCAAATATCTTCCCGAAGACGTTGGTTTATGGTACCAATCAAACTCTAACACTTCACCCTCCCTAATAACTGTAACATCCAACCTATCACCTTGCACCTCCATGGTGAACTGAAGCTTCGGATGTTGTGAATTAAAAATATCCAGAATGTCACTTACCGAAGAACCCAGTGCCGCCATGATTATATCGTCTACATATCTATAGTAAAAAAGTAACGAAAACTGGATTAGGGACAATGCTCTATCCTCTAATCTTCTCATAACTAAATGCTATAACCGGAGACAACGGAGAACCCATTGGAGTCCGTAATTCTGCTTATATATGACATTGTCAAATGCGAAATATGTAGAATCCAGAACAAACCGCACTGCCCTAATAAAATCATCTTCTGGTAAACGACAATCTCTAGAAATAAAACACCAAGATTCCCTGATACAATCAATAGCATAATCAACTGGAACATTGGTGAAGACGCTAACCACATCCAGCGACATTAACTGAAATTCATTACTCAAATATTTCCCATCCAGTTAATTAACTAATTTGAAACTATTATCAATATGACTATTAGCCTTCGGAATAGTATTTATAATAATGCCATGCAAAAACACCGCTAACGAATATAAAGGGCTATTCAACGAAGAGACAATTAAACGGAAAGAATCATTCTGCTTATGTATTTTCGGGAGTACATAAGCCCTCGATAATAAACCCTCACTACATAACAACTTTCTATATTTTTAGTGAATAAAGAAGTTTCTCTCTTTATAAGTGTATTATTTGCGCGACGTCTTCTGCGCCCGACTCCTAGTACCCTGACTCTTTCCAATTCTTTGATTTGTAAGAAGTCTTGATTAGTTTGATTTATTAACGGTTCTATATTTTTCCTGCAAAATGTACCCTTTGCCCTTCCATCTAACTAATAACTTGCGTAAATACGTTACAATTTTCTTTGTTGGATCTCTATTTATGATCTCATATGTACTCTCATCTTGGAGCAACTCATTTACTATAGAAACATAATTTTATCTAGTGTTACCGTCACATTACCCTTATCAGCTCGAGTAAAAATAATGCTATCATTCTTTTCTTTAAAAAAGGGCCTCGTGTCCCTTGCCAACCGTAAAAGACTTCTATCTACATCTGTATTATGCAAAGAACAAGATGTCAAGTTACTTAAAACGGGAAGTGAGAACGACGGTTCGTGATCGCAATCCGCTCATCGATAGGCAATTTATACACATTAATTTCAATACATTTTATAAGGTCTACCGTTAAATTCAATATATTATTTGAAGGTAAAGCAAAATTATGTCTCAATTGTAAAAAAATTCTGTATCTCTAGAGGTATAACACTCGTTGACAAATTCACGAACCACTCATTGACTTTGATTGTGATAACGTCACGATATTGGACAAAAACAGCCACGGTACTCCAAAAAATTAATCTCTGAAATGATACGTATCAGGAGACAGACGCATGGACTCAACCTACAGACGGATATGGAGGGGCTACTTAAGGCCTACTTTCCGATAATTGATAGTTTATAAATAGCGTAGTTATCATTCGTGAAGATCTAGTCAGCGTTGAGTGCGCACAGTAACAGGGTCTTTTTAAATTGGTTTTTATTTGATGGATAATTTTAACTGATAGCATTAGATTAAACAGACTCACTGTGTTTGACGCTGACTGGCAGATATATTCAAGCGACCGGTTGTTGAATATTATCATGTTTGTGATGCAGTATCATTGTGAACAGTGTGAGCTTCCTTACTCTCGGATATTTATTAATTATTTTCAATTAAATTTTAATTATGCTTAGTTTACTATTTGACTTTTTTATCCCCTTATGGTAAATATTTTACTAGACAGTTAAGACTTATTTGAATTTCTGATTGTGGGGCAGCTCACAATGCTAGGACTTTCCTTGGTCTTCTTAGTATTTTTGTTATACATTATTATCTCTGAAGAGGGCTCAAAAATGAGCCGAAACGTGTAAGAGTGTTTGATTGTAATAAATAAGTTTTACTTTCTATATTTTTGGAATTTGCGTAACTTTATCTACGACTCCTATTGCCCTTCCTCCTAAGTTTTTTAAAATTATTGTTTTAAATCGACTAATTAAAAATTACATTACTTTTATATTTCAAATTTTAAAAAATTAATAACACAATAATTATACAAAATGTCCTAAAATTGACGATAAATATTTTAAAGACGAATTCATGGAGACTATGATGATAGTTTTCAAATGGGAATAGATCAAAAATTATGTATGACAGGGCTGAAATTTTGCGCTATCAGGAATGGCAAGATTGTCAGTGTCATGGTGGAATCCATCATGACACTGATTATCATGATTCCAATCCTAATTCCACCATGGTCAATGTAAAGGTACTTCTTCGAAGGTGCTTCATATCTTTATCACTAACAAAATTCAGCATCTTCACACGGATTATCTTGCCGTTCTGGAGCGCGCGAAATTTTAACCACATCGTTCATAATTTTTTAACTCCTCTGATTTAGAAACTGTCTTAGCCCCGACGTTAGATTTTTCGTCTTAAAATGTTACAAAGAATCTGTCTATAAAATATAATATTTATCGTCAGTTTTGGAACATCTCGTATTATCAATGACTAACTACTTTTGTACAGGTTCTTGAAAGAGGTATCGAGAAATTTGCTCAAGCACGTTTTTACGGTCCTATTGCTGGAATAGTTTTGTTCCGATGGTTGGACAGTCAAGTGGGCGATGATATTGATACAGTTATCCACACAAATTTACATCATATTCACAAACAGAAATTGCAGTCACTAAACTACACCGAACATCATTGGAAAATATACATTACTGATATTTTAGAAACTGGCAAAGGTCGGTAGCTGTAAAATTTTACATTTAACTCTAATAATCCTTAGTTGTACAATGTTTTATAATGCATATTATATGTACGTTATTGAAATCATCCATAAAATTATAATTATTTTTAAAATTTTTACGTTTAGGTAAAAACAACTGCAATATACTCCAAAATGTATTCAATCCTAATAATTCTGACGTTGGAAAATCTATGGGAGATGTCGATGTACGTTTAGGCAAAATAAAAATTGCTATTGACTCACAGGAAAGATATAAAACTTTTTATAGAGATTCAGAACTATCTTTACTACCAACGAATCTGCTTGGTCCACATCGTCACTTATACTTAGTTATCTTCCATTCTGTGCACGAGGATTCGTTTCTGGCCTGTACGAAAATAAATCATCGTAAGCCAACATATACCAAGTAAGAGTCATATCATTAGCCTTATTAAATACGATATTGAAACTAATAAATAATTATGAATTATGAAGTAGTTAAAAATTATGAAATTAAACGACTTTAAGTATAAACCAATAGCTTTTTATAAGGAGCACGTAAGCCTACACAGGATCTCAATGTAAACACATTCGTTATAAAATAATCTCTTTAATAATAAAACATAATACACATGAATCATAGACGTTTTGACCTTTTATTAGATCATCTCCAGTAACTTTATAAAGTCAATTAAATTATTTAAATTAATGTCTGTTGTGACATGTCACTAAAACTAAAAAATTCGTTCACACTTTCATCGCATAAGTCGCTGATATAGCGTTTGTACGGGAATGAATATTAGATGCATCTCGATTCACAAATTTGTTTAATAAATAATAATTTATTTTCATAAATGTTCAGAAGTGAAGCTACCCCAAAAAACCATGATTTTTTATCATATATTGAGCAAAACTAGTTATAAAAAGATATGTATATTATGTTTTAAGAGGGAGCTTGTGATTTTTCTAGGAAAAATTTTATTTCAAAAACAAATAAGACAGTTTTACTTTTGAATGCGGCGTTAAGGTTAGACAGAGATACTGATATATTTCTCTCTCTGTTATCAATTTTGTTAAAACTACAATCATGCATACAAAAGTTGGCTCAAATCATCGCGACTCTGATTAGAGGGTATCTAGTACAATATATACAAACTTCATGATTCACAATATACCTCATATACCGATGTCATTTTCTATTTTAGTTGTTGTCTACATGTTCGCCATCGAGGAAGTGGGTGTCTAGGTGTCCGCCGTCGAGGAAATAGGTTCGCCTTCGAAGAAGAGGGTGTTCTAGGTGTTGTTTACATGTTCGCCGTCGAGGAAATTGGTGTCTAGGTATTCGCCGTCGAGGAAATGAGTGTCGAGGTGTTCGCCGTCGAGGAAATGGGTGTCTAGGTGTTCGCTGTCGAAGAAATGGGTGTCTAAGTGTTGTTTTACCGTCGAGGAAGTTGGTGTCTAGGTGATCGATGTCGAGGAAATGAGCATCTAGGTGATCGCCGTCGAGGAAATGGGTGTCTAGGTGTTAGCCGTAGAGAAAGTTGTTGTCTAGGTGTTCACCGTCGAGGAAGTGGATGTCTAGGCGTTTGTAGTCGAGGAACTGAGTGTCTGGATGTTCGCCGCCGAGGAAGTGGGTGTCTAGGTATTGTCTACATTCGCCGTCGAGAAAATGGGTGTCTAGGTGTTCGAGGAAATGAGTGTCTAGAATTTCGTTTGCCGTCGGAGAAATGAGTGTCGTGATTAAAACGCCATCAGTCAGCGGTCTAGGGCGATTGCTGTATAGCAGCTTAATTCGACGCGTTTTTGCATGAAACGAAAGAATTTGGCAGAAAAAAGTGTCGCTCTGCCTCGTGAATCGAGATATTAAGCGTTAAAGTTGACAACTATTGGTTTTTTCGAAAAATATTCTATTCTGTCAAATGTTAATTTCCTTTTTTACTGGATTGTACTGTAAATAAAGAAATCGAACGGAAATGGAATTATACACTAGTATATTTATTGACTAGGCTAGGAAATGATAATGGCAATCAATTTATTCGATAACGATCTAAATTTGTTTATAACTCAATATTTAACAAAAAGAGATTAGATAATGAAAACGAAAAAATTATAGGTCTGTAATTTTACAGTGATATGAATATATTTTATATCACAATTATAAAACGATGGGGGTGGCGGTGGGTAAATTTTATGATGAAATCCTTTGTACATATGATCGTATACAAACTTACCTTTTTAAAAAAAGGTAAAAAAAGCGCTAAGCGTGTGTGCTTCTCGTAAAGAATCACCATTTGGGCGAGTTTCACCAACGCCACTTACTTAATCGGCCGTGAAACTGATGACTAATCACGTTTGCTGTTTAATAGAACTAATGATATGTATCATTTGTATAAAAGATTTGATATCAACAACTGGCGCCAAATTAAATTTTACCATTTTATTCCTCCTAAAAAAAAAATAATAGTAACTTTAATTTTTTTCTTAATTTATTTGACTCTAATGATATTTATCATTCGTATTAAAGATTTGATATCAACAAAATTGGCGCCAAGCTAAATTCATCAAAATTTTATTAAAATTTTATGTATTATTCGTAAAAAAGATTTGATATCAACAACTGGCATCAAATTAAATTCCATGTATTAGGTGTTAAACTTAATTTCTGTCGTTTTTCGTCTCCAAAGTTGATTTGTTTCGAAGAGAAATGCGCCAAGTGTTTTTACATGAAAAATTTTTCTATTTAATTTCAATTTTTTCATTTTATACAGTTAATTCTTTAATTTTTTATGGTAACACTTAAACTGAGCAAGTTAAAGCAATTTTGTGATAATGCTTTGTATAATGTTTTGAAGGAGAATTAAATAATCACTACTTTAGTTAGAAGAGGAAATGTCTTTGAATGAATTGTGATATAATAATTTCATTTAAGAGGAATTTAATCCATTTGTATTGGAATAGGAAGATTCTTCAATAAGTATACTTATACTTAGGCTTCATTGCATAAAAATTCAAGATAGTACCATTTGGATTAAGTAAATAAAGGTAGTATCACTTGAGTTTTACTTTTCATTTTGACAGTAAAATTTAACTTGGCGCCACAGTTATTGATATCAATCGTTCGTACAAATAATACATACCATTAGATTAATATTTATTATTTATTTAATTTGGCATGGTATAAAGAAGTGAGATTTAACTTGGCGCCAGTTCTTGATATATATCAAATCTTTTATAGGAATGATACATATCATTAAAGTTAATATTATTTATTTAAGTTGGTATTCGAATTACATGGAATTTAACTTGGCGCCAATTATTGATATCAAATCTTTTTTAGGAATAATACATAAAATTTTGATAAAATTTTGATGAATTTAGCTCGGCACCAATTTTGTTGATATCAAATCTTTTATACGAATGATACATATCATTAGAGTTAAATAAATTAAGAAAAAAATTAAAGTAACTATTATTTTTTCTTTAGGAGGAATAAAATGGTTAAATTTAAGTTGGCGCCAGTTGTTGATATCAAATCTTTTATACAAATGATACATATCATTAGTTCTGCTAAACAGCAAACGTGATTAGTCATCAGTTTCACCGTCGATTAAGTAATTGGCGTTGGTGAAATTGGCCCAAATGGTGATTCTTTACGAGAAGCACACACTCTTAGCGCTTTTTTTCCTTTTTTTAAAAAGGTAAGTTTGTATACGATCATATGTACAAAGGATATTATCATAAAATTTACCCACCGCCACCCCCATCGTTTTATAATTGTGATATAAAATATTTTCATATTATTGTAAAATTACCGACCTATAATTTTTTCGTTTTCATCATCTAATCTCCTTTTGTTAAATATTGAATTATAAACAAATTAAGATCGTTATGGAATAAATGGATTGTCATTATTATTTCATAGCCTAGTCAATAAATATACCAGTGCATAATTCCATTTCCGTTCGATTTTTTCATTTACAGTACAATCCTGTAAAGAAGGAAATTAACATTTGATAGAATAGCATTCTTTTCGAGAAAACCAATAGTTGTCAACTTTAATGCTTAATATCTCGATTCACGAGGCAGAGCGACACTTTTTTCTGTCAGATTCTTTCGTTTCTTACAAAAACGCGTCGAATTTAGCTGCTACACCAATCGCCCTAGACCGCCGACTGATGGCGTTTTTTTTTATCACGACACACATTTTCTCGACAGCGAATGCAGACAATACCTAGGCACCCACTTCCTCGGCGGCGAACATCTAGAAATTCATTTCCTCGACGGCGAACACCTAGACACCCATTTCCTCGACGGCGAATACCTAGACATCCATTTCATCGACGGCGAGCACCTAGACACTCATTTCCTCGACGGCGAACACCTAGACACCAACTTCCTCGACGGTGAGCACCTAGACACCAATTTCCTCGACGGCGAACACCTAGATACTCATTTCCTCGACAGCGAACACCTAGACACCAACTTCCTCGACGGCAAAACAACACCTAGACCCCCACTTCTTCGACGGCGAACACCTAGACGCCCACTTTCTCATTAGATACCCATTTCCTCGACTGCGAACACCTAGACACCAAGTTCCTCGACGGCGAACATGTAGACAACACCTAGAATACCCACTTCCTTGATGGCGAACATCTAGACACCCACTTCCTCGATTTTATTTACAGTACAATCCTGTAAAGAAGAAAATTAACATTTGATAGAATAGAATACTTTTCGAGAAAACTAATAGTTGTCAATTTTAACGCTTAATGTTTCGATTCACGAGGCAGAGCGACACTTTTTTCTGCCAGATTCTTTCGTTTCATGCTGCAAAAATGACAAGGCCAATTAGACTGAATTTTCGTTTATACACCTTTAAATCATTAATAGTAGAAAAACCATACGTACATATATCAGCTTATCCAAAATTACATGTTTCCGTTCTTGAATGAATTGAGCCATCCTCAGATTCTTTACAATCTTAATAATATATTCACATCGATCTAATAATTCGTGATGACAGTACAATACGTTGAACTAGTCGAGTGCTTCCATGAGAGAGACTATGATCCATTTCCGAAAGATTAACTGATATGTTGTTGATTATATCATGATATTCTAATGTTAAGATTAAAGAATCTGAGAATGGCCCAATCCGAGAGCCGAAACATGTAATTTTGAATAAGTATATATATATATATATATATATATATGCGAATGGTTAGAATTTTTTGGAAGACCGTCTTTCTGTACTCTAATAAATTTGTTCAATTTATTCTTACTAAAAAATGCTAGTTTTAAATTTTCTACAAATAGTTATGAATTTTTCTGCGTTTGTCTAATTATACGGTAATAGAAACCAAGGAACTCTTTCCACAATATTATTATCTTTAGAAATATCCGACCTCGACTACCAAATTGCGTTCAA